GGCGGGACCGCCGGAGGGCTCTGCTCGGCGGCCGCGAGAAGACGCGTGTCTTGAGCAAAACCGCCCGGTTTTGGGCGCTGTTCCGCCCCCCCCGGTGTCTCGGGAGCGCGGTGTGTCATCGCCTTCCGCGTTTTGGCTGTGTCCAGCTTTGTTTCTGAAACTCGTAGCGGGGTGCTTTGTGGAGGACAGGGGCGTAGTTCTCAGCGTCTCTGAGTTATTTAACCTGTTCCCTTTACCATCTTTCCTTCGAGTCTTGCACCGAGTACGGTTTTACGTTTTAGCTGTTAGCGAAATAACGTGCTCAAGCGTGTTGTGAACTGAATGCTGAAGCGGCAGAGGTTGACCGAGCCTGGTGCAATCGTGTCTCTGATTTTTGTTTCCAGCCATGACCATGCAGTTCATCAGTCACCGGTTTCCAGAGGATCATGATCCCACAATTGGTAAAAAAAATCTTTCTCTTCTCTTTGCTGTTCACTCCCTCTCCTAGCAGGTTAAGCTGTTGTGGGGTCCATTGCTTTAAAGTACTCAATTTAAAGAAGGCTGTGAGTTTGGCCGTAAATGGAGGAATCAAGTCCCTTAGATTACTCACTTAAAGATATTAAGAATTCTGAGGCTGCTGTGAGGACTGGGATGCATATCCTGAGTTTTAGATCTTTAATGGGTTTTCTATCACGTATTTTAGGCCATGCACTATATATTTGTTTGTATGTTGGTAGACAAGGATGAAAAACTGCTGATAAGTGATTATTGTCTATTCAAAAAATCTAGTCTCCATGCTGTAAATCAGCTCTCTGCTATTAATTTTTCAGGCCAAATTGTGCTCTGTCTTTTAGAAACTAGGAGATATGAAAGTGCTTAACAACTTACTATACTGTTGCATAATTTTTGCAGCACCTCGTAAGAGAAACCTTAACCAACAGTTACACTGTCCAAGGAAAAGTGGGAAAAACAGCCAGCTTCTTGTTGAAAGCGACTGTTGCAGTGTGGGAGTGCTAACTTAGAGGGACAGAATATTTATTTTCTTACTTTTAAGAAAATGGCAGTTGGTGGTGGCCAATTCTCTTGAATCACGGGTATTTTCTGGCTTTGAGAAAAATATAATGCTCTTTAATCTGCGCTTTCCACCAAGGTGTCCAAAATTGAATTTATAGGATGTGGCATGTCTATCAGAAATAGCATGTACAATAGCATGATTTTAGCAAACGGTTGGGAGGATATTAAATCACACCAGAACAATTAAAAATTTAATTTGTTGTTAAACAAAGATCAGACTAATTTAGTATAGTAATATTACCGGATTAGGTTCTTCTAGTGTAATGTTCTCTTTGTGAATTGATGATGAATGAGTATTGCAATTGTATTCTAATCTTGTGCTTTCCGATGTGCCGTGAATTCACAGAGGATGCTTATAAAATACGAATACGCATTGATGACGAACCTGCCAATCTGGATATCTTGGACACGGCAGGACAGGTAAGTGAGTAATAATAAGTGAGTTGGGAGGATGTTGAGAAGTCTGTAACGGTCAGGTGTAGAGACAGAAATCCTGTAAAAGTATGCCTGTCTTTTCTTCCAAATGTTTTTTTGAGCTCTCTAACTTCTAAGCATCACGTTGCTTATAGCATCTGTATCATACTATCTATATTTAGGCAGCTGAGACGGAACTCTGGTTTCATGCACTGCTTTCTCTGTTCGTGATCAACAAGCAATATGTATTCGCTGATAAATGACATGTTGGTATGATTTCTATAGCGAGGGAAGCTTGGTGTTAATCCCAGACATATATAATAGCTTGTCCTGTATCTAACAGGATGAGAAGATAGATGACCAGCTTGTTTACAGAGTTCCTATGCAGCTGTTTTTGGAATGCATATTGTGTTTCCCATTCTGAGGAAATTAGAAAGTCATTGTATCTGTGCAATTGAAATGTAATTGTCTGTTTCTAGGCAGAGTTTACAGCCATGAGAGACCAGTACATGAGGGCTGGCGAGGGATTTATCATCTGTTATTCAATCACAGACCGGCGTAGTTTCCATGAAGTGCGTGAGTTCAAACAGCTAATCTATCGAGTTCGACGCACTGATGACACTCCCGTGGTCCTAGTGGGAAATAAATCTGATCTGACACAGCTACGGCAGGTAAATGGCACAAGAGAGGCCCACAATTACAAGCTATTTCTGTTGTACAATGCAGTAATACAAGAGGTTATACTCCCTTTCTTAATTTTTTTGCATGTTTACTGTATAGTAAGTTTAACATTAGAGAAGTACTTGTTTAACCCAGGATGTGTTGAATAACCAAATGCGTATAGCAATCACAGAACTAAAGTCTTCAAGTTGATGCTTTGGGTTTCAGCTGCTCTTGGGCTTTTCCTTTTTTTTTTTTTTTTTAATTCTTGAAAGGAGATACTGTTAATAGAGATTTAGCATTCCATAAACCACTTGCAGATACTAGTACAAATTGCAGATGCAAGTGTGCTAAGAATGGACGCGTAATAATGGAGAACTTGAGTAAGAATGGGCAGAAAGCAAAATTACTTTCAGCTTAAGAAAACAGTAACTACCGTCTGTGGGAAAACGGTTTGAAGCAGAGCTTCACTCAAAGGAAACGTACTTTGGAAAACAAGTTCCAGAGGTGCTGTTTGTATACCTGGAATTAGATGAATTTTCAGTGCGCGTTGTAGCAGGAAAATTATGGTAGCTATTGTAGAACACCATGCCAAGAGATGTAACGTATCGGATGAGGAGTGGGTGTTGCTTTTCTGTGGCCTGGGGTTGGTTGGTTGGTTGGTTGGTTTTTCCCCAAAAGGTTTGGCTTGGTTCTGGGAAGTAGTTTGACAAATATAATAGATTTTGAGCAGGAGAAGGAAATAGCCTTAGCTTACCAAACTGACAAATGCTTGTGTTAGGGCTGAGGACTGCTCACATTAGGCAACTTCTAGATTAAGCTCCAAGAAAAGAATATTCTTTCAAGGACTTTGTTGTTTCATGAGTGTCCAGAGGGTCTCTTGCAGATGATTGCATTGCTAGAGAAACGATGAGTGAAAGAGAAACAGGTTTGTAGAGAAGGATTTAGAGATCAGTGGAAGTTAGCTGTTCTGGAACTGGGAGGGTCCATGCACAGTTATAGAGCAAGCAGAACAAGAAATGGTAAAGAAATAAACTTTTTGGTTTTGGCTTTCTTGGCAAGTGTGAACTTTATTTTTCAGGTCTCCAAAGAAGAAGGCTCTGCTTTAGCACGAGAATTCAACTGCCCTTTTTTTGAAACTTCAGCTGCATACCGTTATTATATTGATGATGTATTTCATGCTCTTGTGCGAGAAATCCGCAGGAAAGAAAAAGAAGCAGTAATGGCAATGGAAAAAAAATCAAAACCGAAAAGCAGCGTGTGGAAAAGACTGAAGTCACCGTTTAGAAGGAAGAAGGATTCAGTCACTTGAACAGGGAGAATGCCTCTGCAAAATAAAACAAAACCTGTGAATAGCCATTTGTAACCAAAGCGGTTTAGTGACAACATTTTGACGGCGTGTTTTAAACCTGATGGGACTTTTATGAGGGAATGCATAACTTTTACCAATTTTTTTTTTTGAATGATATTCCCTTAATTTTGGGTATTTAACTTAAGACACAGTAACAGTTGTACTTTTGTTTGTTGTCATTTTTTTACTGGATCCAGCAAATGTTGCTTGTATGTCGGTTACAAATGCTGATAGGTTTATGTCCCTGCACTTTTGAATGTTTGTCTTCGGTTACTGCGTACTGGAAGCTGAATTGTGTAAAATATTGCTGAAGTTCTACCCAACCTAACTTAATTCATTTTTTTCCTAGTTTGCACAAGAAAATTTTGCCGCTCTCCGGAACAGTAACCCACATCACGAGAGGCGGCTTGTCGAGGTCGTGCTGAAAAATAGTTTACAAAGTGTATGTCATGACTAGCAGCCTTGGCTGTGTATAGATGTCACTGAATGGAGCTGTGCTAGAGTTCTTGTGTTCTCATTGAACAGATTTTTTCCAGCAAAAGTAATGTGGAATACTTGTACAAGTTTATCTAAATTATCAGTTAATCAGCGGTGTTGTAGGTGGGATTCTAAACAAGTCAGAAAAAGCAAATTATGGTTCCTATGGCAGCTATAACTTGGCAACAGTGCATGAATATGTAGCATTTTCCTACTGTATATAGCATTTACTGTGTTGCCATAGCATGTGTAATGTAGTGATGCTGTAGAGACCACAGCTTTGAATTTTCTGACTTGCGTGTTAAAAATCACAGCTGTAATGGTGCGCTGGCTTATTTATTTACATTCGTGTCAGTTTTATGTTCTTGTCTTAAAGGAGCCAGTATCTTTGTTAAGTAGAAGTCTCTAACATAGTCATTTCAAGTTATTCTATGATAACTACTTTGTAGAGAAACTGACTGATACTGAGGTATCTGGGCCCAGAATTAATATTCCTTATACTGGTAAGATTCTTCCAATGCAGTCTTAAAAGTAGAATTGCCGGTGCAGTGGAAGGAAGCGATTAGCTGGACAGAGTGACAGTCCTGACAGATACTCACATCCCTGACCTTGCATGTGTGGGCGGTCCAGGCAGTGCAGGTTCAGGTTTTCTTGCACTCGTAAAGAATGACGTGGTTAAGAGAGTGCTTCCGAGGGAGACTCTCCATACGTAGAGAGATTCTCTGCTTTAGAGCTGATTTACATATACATCGGTTATAGAATTTAAATCCAGCAGAGAGAGGGATGTCTGGTGTTCCTCTTGATTTTGTTTTTTAATAATAGAACAAATCATAGTTAGGTAACTCAGACATGGTTAAAACAAGTTTCTCGGAGAACTAAGTGCCTAGAATCTTTCAGTTTAAGAGTGAAAGAGCTTAGTAGACTAAGTGTAGTATAGCTTCTATCATCTGTGTCGGTAACTACGTTAATCTTACTGAACAAAAATCAGATCTGTAATGTCAGTCTTAGTGTGCTGGATGTGATAGTGCAGTCAAAACTGAAAATTTTTGTGTAAAAGGATTAGTACAAGAAGCAAGGATAGCAAATATATAAACTTAAGCTTTTTTTCTTTCTAACTCCTCATTGCTTAAGATACGACTGGAAATTCTGTGCCTGTTGGTTTTAAGAGTATTATTTTTGTGTAAGATTTAAAAAAACTTATAATGAGAAATCTGGAGGAGGGGTACCTTTATTTTGTTTGTGGCTGAGCTAAACATTTAAATTGGTTTCTGTTTCTCACTCCTAGTGCTCCAGCGTTACGCTACGCTGGTAATAATCCCACGTACGTTGTTTGAAAAAGAGGCTGAGAATAATCCAGTCTGTTTAGAATTTAAGACCTCTTTTATGTTAACTGTGTGAGCAGTTGTGCGCCTCTTTTCAGTAGTTACTGGTTTAGGACTGAAAGCCCTACTAATCATTCATTGTTGGATTAAATGCTGTCTAAAACTCAGATAAAAATCCTGGGAAAACCATCTAGCAGAAAACTTGAGGAGAAGGAGGGGGCAACAGCTAAGAAGTTGCTCTAAAAGCAGTCGCTGATTCTGTCATCATAAAAATTATGTCAGACCAGCCTTCTGGAAATGCTGAACGGGGGCCTAATTGTGATGACGAGTTTTCCCCGTGTTTTTCCTTGATACAGTAAGTTAACATAAAATACTGGTCGGCTTCCTACATTCAAAGTTTTTGGATAATATGTGAAAGTAACCTGTCAGCAGCACTGAAAGCTGTGTGGGACTATTTTCACCTTTAAGTAACAGATGTCTGTGCCTTACGTGATTCCTTCAATGCAATTTAAGTGTTTACTAATGCCTTTTGTGAGCCTGTTGCTTATAGAATTATTACATCAGAACAGCAGCAAGCACTTTTTTTACACAGTGTTATTCAAAAAGAGTTTTATTTTTGTCATGTATAAATTTGTACACAGAATTATTGTTTTATTTGACACAATATATAATTTTTAATACAAACATTTGCATTTGATGTTTTAATCTGTGGTGTCTAGCATGATGGGTAGAAGGCCGTTCAGCCTGAGAGTGCTGAAGGAAGAAAGCTCGTGGTGTGTTTGTAAATCATTTTGGAAAATGCTTATCTAGCTTGAAAAAAAGGAGTTGGTATGTTACGTGTAAGTGGGGGCAAAACTTAATTCTGTGATGCAAGTCTGGTGCTAAATCATTTAAATATGATCTGGACATTTTGCAACTGTATTACGTTACCTTTGTATGCTCTGCCTAAGGCGTGTTGACTTTCCGAGTTGTAGGTATGCGTGGGGCAACAGCAGCTGCATGAGGTAAGGGTCTAAATCTTTGCCCAGATACTTGAGTATTGGGGCACCGGCCAAAGTAGTCCCTCTGCGTTTGCCACTGCCCGAGGTTCTCTGTGCATGGGTGGTTTGCATTTTATTATTTCCTACTAGTAGAAAGCGGCTGGGTTTAGACTCCTCTGGGGCTTTGGTGCAGTTGTTTTTTCTTTCCTTAAGGTGTTTATACTGTAGCCAAATTTGCAATACATCTCTCGCTTTATGACTATCGAAAGGCTACTGTGGTCACTTGTGTTGGGTCAGAGAGGATCTCATCTAGTGGTAGAGGCGCAGAATGTTTCAGCTTCTCCTGCACACAGCGTGAATGTCACTCGTGCGTTCACTAGGCGTTTGGAGGCAACTTCCCCAACTACCATCTCTTGTAACCATGTCTTGTAAGAATCGTCTCATTGTTTGCGGCAGTAACTCGGGTGTGCGTGTTTCTAGTCTGGAGGGACATGCTTAAATTTTAGTGGTTGTGTCAATAAGGTCCCCAGTCGGGTTTACAACTGTATCTGCTTTGCTGTCTAAACAGATGAGTCGGCAGATAAATCTTCCCCTGGTTGATAGGCTGATACGTTGCCCGCTTCTGCTTTTGTGAGAAAGCCTTTTGGACTATAATTTTGGACTAAATGCAAGATTCCTAGAAGGTTAACTCTCTTACGTATTTTTGTTCGTCATGATGTCCAGTTGACAGCTGTAAATCGCATAAGTGGCATGCAGATGTCGTGGTTCTTCCATTATTATCCTTCACTTAACAGAAAGGATATCTTTGTCCGTCACCACTTAGCTGATGGTTAGGAGTGAGTTTAAAGCACACTTGAGAAACTTCTTCCTATCCAAGAAACTTTGAAAAACTAGAAATTAATGAAAACTTGCTAGACCTGCAAGATGTTTTTAGCAACATCAAATGACTTCAGGATAGTTTCTAAATAGCAGTAAGTGATATAACAGTGATAGCTTTGGTGGTGTTACTTTCTTCTTGTGTGGTTTCCATCCTGTGTGCAGTCTCATCCAGTCATTTAACAGCATAGCTCCTTTCTAAGCCTACTAGGAAATACCTCAGGTCTGTCTAGCTTTTAATACCTCGAAAGCCGTGACACATCACGGCTTGCTCCATTTTGCAGGCTACTTAAGAATATATTGAGCAGCATTGACTCTATAGTGTTCTCTTAGAGCTTCCCAGTAACTCGTCTGCTGTGCACAGTGTCACCTTGCTCATGCTCCTTTCGGTTTTTATCCTCTTGCAGGGTTGACGACATTCCTTCTTACTCCGAGACAACTTTGCTTGAGAGTCACCGGTAAGATACAAAATACCCAAATACAGGCACCAGCTATTTCACCACCTACCTACTAAATCCTTCGATATATCCTGAGTAAAGGTCTGAAACACAACTACCTTTCTCTAATGCTATGTTGTCATTGATTGTGCTGCTGCTTGTGTTATTTACTACGGATTGGGCCGGTTTATCCAGAGTCGGCATGTTAAAGGGTATTCAGTCATAGGCAGGTAGCAGTTTTTCAGTAATTTTGCTACGTCTCTGTTGTGTTCTCCATAAGTACAGGAAACATAATTCAGACCAAAAGAAAAGGCTACTCTTGCATCTTTTTTGGCTACGTGGCTTTCAAATGTAGACCGAAACAAATTACTTTGCAGACATTCATACTAAAAATTCCTAAGTATGTAGGAACTCTGGTAAGATCCAGAGATGAATTAGGGGAAAAACTCTAATTATCTTGTTAGAAGCAGATAACTAAGAGCTTCATTTTTAGGCTTCTCCCTAGAAATTCAGAAGCTGTTTCAGCTGTTCAGTGGTGACCCCTTTTCTTAAAGGGCATGAACAAATCTGTGGAATGAAAACAATCCTACCGCTGCATTCTTGCCATTCTTTCTCCAACGTGATTGTCAAGTGCCATTTATCTGTCATCTAAATAGTTACAGCAGTGTTTTCCTTACATAAAAGCTTACCGTGATGGAGGCTTTAAATAAAAACTACCTTATGGATCAAAGAAGTCGGTACCATTGCGTACCGGTTGCTTGGGTCCCTGAGAGTTCACGTAGGTGTCAAATGTATGGGAAGAGAGAGCTTTTCAGTATCTCCCCGAGGCCAGACTCAAGGGTGTTGAAGGTTGTAATTACCAAGATCTGCTCACAAACAGTGTATCCGTCACCGGGAACGAAGACATCTCAGCTAAGAAGGATCTAACACCGTCGCAGTCAGCGTGTGTGTATAGTTGAGCAAATTTTGCTGTCTACTGTCTGCTTCGAGTGTACTAAGAAAATCTTTCATATATTCTGTGGTGCTGATACAGGTTTACTTCGCATGATTTCATTACCGGAATGCAAAACTATAATGCCCCCTTGCTGATAATAAAGGTCAGTCTCTTGCTGACATAACAAGAAATTGTTTACAAAAGTGCAAAACTGGTGAAATGTAAGATACCTGGAGGTTAATTACATGTAACAGAGAGCTTAAAAAACACCTGCCAAAATTCCTGCT